TCCTGAAATCTGTTGTTGGCGTGCTAAACACTTTTCTGTCTGAACCCGTTAGTTTCCTTAATTTTTTTACTTTCTAAGAATTGATTCTCAAAATTTATTACAATTCTGATTTCTTCGAATGAGACTCAAAGTGATCACGACCTTTACTTAGCTAGATTCTTGTAACCATTTTTAACATAAGTATTATTTGTAACTTTGAAAATATACACCAGAACTTAAAAAATACAGTAAATAGACTGCTGTAGTTAATGAAATGTATATACATCATATAAAACTGAAACCAAATGGTCTATTTACACGAAAGTTACATAGTAGGAATGAGTAGGTCGATATAACTTAATTACAGTCCTTTGCTAACTAGCAATTATCTTACATTGACTTACATAAAATCTTATGATTTATTAGTAGAACATCGCACACAGGTGCATCGCCTCAGGTTGAAGGAAACTGCTAACTGTTATACGTGTATTGAGAATCTGTAACACAAGATTTATCTTCGTTATGACTTCTGAAATCCGTCACTTGTTATCAGGCTATGCCATATTGTAGACCTCAGTGTACTTTGACTCGGGTTTCTAAAAGATTATCAACTACTGTTGACTAGCTACTTCTAGAAGTTAAGTAATGTTCTTTATTCAGTTCACAGGTTTGTGGAAATTGTTTGACTTCAAAAAAGAATTCAGCGTAGAATAACATTTGAGATGGAGAAATGAACCATTCAGGAGCCCCGTACTAGGACAAGATAGCTGTCCAATGCTTTCAGGTTTCCCGTAATTCTCCAACCGGTAGCAGTCTGTAATGAACACCACCTTGAAATAATCCATATCATATTCTGGGTTTCTACTATGGTTGATTTGTTGAGACTGCTTTGATAGTAGTTAGCTTGTTTTATCTCTTCCTTTTTGCATTATTTCTCTTGACATGCATATAGATAAACGTTTTTAGTTCACCATAATCATGTAAAATAAAGGCCAATCTTATTATGCAGAAAATAAGTTTCGATGCAACTAGGCACATACAATGGGATGGTTTGCTTATCCATTATGAATTTTAGACAAATAGTGAACGCGGCTAACAATCATTTTATTTCTAGGTGAAACTTTGCAGATATTTTTAATATTTCTGCTTAAATGCAAATGGGTAACCCTGGTATAAGCATATGATGTATTCATTGTTTTCCGGAACGTATTTATTCATATGTGTAGTGAGAAATCATGCAACGAGATTTGTCAAATAAAATATTCATGAAAAGTGGTTTAAGGTCAGTGAAACAGAACAAACTGATTTCCTTAAAGTGAAGTAAGGCTTTCTTGATACGCCTTGAACATCGCCTTTTACGCATCATGATAGAAAAAGAAAAGTAAAAGAATAAATCAAATCAATGGATAGTAATATTAGAAATAAAAGATAGAAAGCCAAAGCTGATAATCGGTCACAGTGGTGCATATGTGTATTTAGTCTTTGGTGTCTTCTAAATCTTGAATGTTGTGACTTAGCATCATTTTAAAATTTTGTCACCTATTCTCCGTTGTCTACTCTAATATCAGTCTTTTTTCAACCCACTTTTTCTTTGTATCCTACTGTGAAGTAGGACAGCTTGAACTGATGGATTTGTATCACAGGTTCTATGCTGACATTATGGCTGTCTGTCATTGGTCTAATTATCATTCGAAAATATTATTATTATTATTATCATTTTTCCTTTAGGTTCCTAGTGGAATATAGGAATTCAGTAGCACGCCTCCATTACACTCTCTTCTCTGCAGTCTTCTCAACCTGGCGCCACGACTGCTCACAAGCTTTCATTTCTTCCTCATCTCCTCCATGTCACTCTCACCTCGAATGCTCAACTCGTCGTTTCCCCTTTGGATTCCACTCAAGGGAGCCCATTAGGCGCATGATGTCCCCAGTCCGCCTTAACAGTGTATGCCCAATCCACCTCTTTTTTCTTCTGCATATTTGTTAGTTGATAGGTTCTTGGTTGGTTCGTTGTCAGCCAGAGTTCCCTGTTGCTTATTCTTTCTGGCCATCTGATCTTATTTGAAAATATATTTTAACGAAAAGATATATTATTTCGAATGTCTGCTTCAGAATATCAGTATCTTAAAAAAAATATGTTATCAATGTATCTAACTACCCAGCACCTAATCTATACATTCGAATGTTATTGAAGTAAGGTGTAAAAGAATGTAGATTTCTGAATGTTCGCAATGAACTATTCTAACAGCTGATGATAGGCTGGAATTTTCAGCAATAACCTACGTTATGATGATCAGTTTGGAAATCTTTAAAATGAGCGAGACTGACTTGTTTTCCTTTATCAACCTTAAAATAACGAGAATAAACATCGGAGCGGGATAATATATGTCCATTTTATTACTTCAGTGGTTCTCGTCAGCTGCTTACAACATAGAATATTTACAATAAAAAATAACAACAAATTATTAGGACACTTTAGTTCAGTGAAATCAGTCAAAACAAGACGACAACATAGCGAAGTAAGGAGATTTTCCGAATTGAAATAAAGTCAAACAATTTTCTTACTTCACTATGTCTTTGTCCCGTTTTGTCTGATTTTACTTAACTAAAGTGTAATTTGTTCTAGGTTGTAAACAGCTGTCAAGAGCCACTGGATTAATAAAATGTATCCATATTATTCCGCTTCATTTTTTTCTTACTCTTTTAAAACTGACATGATGAATGATACAGTAACATAACTTGAAATCATATTAAGTTTGCGAAATGTTAGACAATACTGTTTTTGTGGAAAGAAAAGAAAAGATTTCATACCCAGCTGGATAGTTGGTCAATTGGATGAAACCCTTTACAAAGTGATAAATAAATACAGTACCGTTTGGAACAGCTGCTACAATAAAGACTGCTTCCTTTTGAAACCAAAAAATCGCCAAGACCCTAAGTAAAAGCCCATAAGGCCTCGAATATTTTCAAACAGATGACTTCCTGTTGGACAGGTCAGCTAAATAACAGCGTGTCTTATTTGAACTAAGCTTCTTGTTAGGCCCAATAAGAACTTACCATCCATTAAACTGGTTGAATAAGAAATGACTGTTAGCAATCATTAAGAATGGTGGTTCACTGTATTGTGCACTGACTAAATTGAATTTACAGGTACCAACTGGTAAGTGAATGTCAATATCGTCACCTCATATCCAAACAGAGTCTAGAAGAAGCATTAATGAAAAGTGTTAAACCAGGATAAGACAGATTTTTTAGCTTTTCTTATCTCTGAACATTAATTGCTTGTAGTGAAAACATATCCAAAAGCTAATGGATATAACAACAAACCATATAACTAAATATGTGCCTAAAAATGTTTTAGGCGTTTTGTTTATAAAGGGAAATTTATCTATCTAGCATGTGACAGAAAAGTATTTCTGAAATAAAATGCTGACTAATTCTTGCCAAGCTAATTTGGAATATGGTAATAAGGGGAATTGAAGAGGCCGCCATTTAGTAAACTGCATGTGAATATTTTCACTGAAGTTAGAGATTTATGCGTAGAGCATTTAATGTAGGAAAATAGTTGGCTGAGCTAAAATTTTTGCCAGCGTTCTAATCAATGTATTACTTACTTAGTAATTGCTTGATAGATTTATTAGCAGAATTTATAGTTTGGATATTTGTAGACTTTGGGTAAAATCTTTTGAGCAGTTTACTGTAATATCTTACTTATTCAGCATCTAATATTATTTCTTCTAAGTTAAACAATTTCTGTTTCTGTCATTGATCATGTAGTGTCGACTGTTTTCATTTCCATTGTCTTCGAGGTCAAGGTGAGCCATTCTGATTACAGCTCAACAGTACTTGGATTTTTATGAATAATTTCTCACTCAATGTGGAATTTTAACAAGATTTTCATTTTGCTGCTCAACTTTTGGACGCAGCCTGTTGAACATCAAAAATGGCTTGTTTATCGGTTTAAATAAACTATAAAAATGAACATTCTAATGGTATGGACTATCTTATTAAAAGGAATTGTTGAACACTGAACGAACAATTGTATTTTTAAGGAGCAAAAAATTATCGGATTTGTACTGCATATATTAAGCCACATATAAGCCGTAGATAGGTTTACTTATCCACCTTTATTCAAGTGTTTGAGTAATAAACTCCTAAAACACCACCATTTATTTCTTTTTTTACACAAAATAATTGATCTACACAATGGAGTGGTTTGATCTCATTACTTCGTTTAGAATTGTTAAGCTGTTAACCTCCAAGCTTCTTTTTAGCGTTTGTATATCGAGAATTTACACTGAAAACGATTTTACACTTCATCTTTTCCTTTTTCTTTTTTTCCTTAACTCATTTTAGAAAGTTATGCTGATATCTACAACATAAAACTTTGCAGTATTCATAGCTTTCCGCAACTTGTAACTTATTTAACATGTCCACATACTCTTCATATTTTAAAAACACAATTTTACATGTTAAATACTTATATTTCAATGGCTTTACCCATAGTTAATTACTGCAAGAGGTGATAAAATGCAACAAGTTTTGAACTACCAACATCTTTCCAGTTTTATACCTCTCTGAAAAGTCACAGAGTAGAAACCCATAGTTGAAAACTTTATCAGTGAATTACTTGATAGACTTCTGAAAACTCTGCCTGTTACAACCTCTTCGAAAGCTATATAATAATTTTAGTTAAATGATGATACAATGTGCGTAACAGTGGAGGGAGAGAAGTAGCAACTAGTCATTTATTCACTAACCATACATCTCAAATTTGTGGATGGATTTAGGCTGATAGGAATGCGTCTCTCGGATCTCTTCAAAATAACTGCTACAAGTATTATCTATCCTACCAAAAGATCGATAACTACGATGCTCATACGTATTTTTTTGTTTATATTCTCCTAGGAACTGGAGAATTCACTATTGATATCCTGTTCACTACCAATCGTGAAACTTTTGGAGCCAGTTGTAATAACCACAACAATGGTAATTATGGCTAATTAGCCAACAAAACATACCTGCATTGTAATTGCATTCAACTGTATAGCAGTGAGTCAGTCCCAAGTGTTTTGATATTGCAACACGACCAGCACCTTCTTTAGTGTAACTGCCCTTACGGTCTTTTAGATACATATTACGTAAACTGAAGTTGCACGAGTCGAAGTCAAAGTAAATTGAATTCACTCCAACCAGCAAAGCGTAGAGGACGTTGTCTACCTAGGAAATTATTTTGTAACAAAAAAAGAAGGCGAATTGTGTTTTTCAATTTAACTTCATTATTGAAGAACAAACATATAGCATAAAATGTGATATTGACAAACAATAAACTTTGAGAAACTTGATTTATTCCAACTTCTACTGGCCAGTTAAAAATCCAGTGAAATGTTGCTATAGTCTGCTTACTAAGTCATAAAATGACTGATCTCACATATAGTAATGAAAATGAAGTATTTATATATATTTTCAAGCTCACGCAGTACTTTTTTCACTTTCTCACCAATGAAAGTTAGTAAACACCTATTACTATTCCTTCTGTATTGCACAACTAAAGACGAAACTTATAATATTTACTAATTCAGATATATCCAGTACGTATTTAGCGATATGAGTTAAAATCTCAGCTAGAATACAGAAGGCTGTATTGGAATTCGCCAACTTGCGTCGTCTGTGGCGCTGACTGGTGAGATACCCGACTATCTATGAAAAATGTGTGTACTGCGCTGCAGTCCATTCTGTCCTGTTATATGGCTATGAGACATGACAGTAAAAAGTCGAAGACAAGAAGTGGTTACAAAGTTTTTACGACACGTGTTTTCCCAGCATTCCTTGTTTTTAGTGGAATCACCGTATGAGCAATGTTCAGGTCAGCCGAAAGGTACCAGGCAAAACAAATAGTTTGACTGATGAAGTTGAGAATTTTCTTCGACTTACATGGCATGAACATGTGCTATGCATCCCCGCCTATCACCAACCTCGATGTGCCATGCTAAGGAAATTTAGGTAGGGTTGGAAGAGGGTTCAGGGTCGTCGGACCAGGACTGGACACGAGCGCATGAAGTCCCAGACTTTCGCTTTGAGCCTTATCGGGAGATGCCAACTACCGAGTTTCCGAGATGTTAGGAACCAGTGGGTGAGTACTGTTGGTGACACGGCTGAAAATCGGTCATAATGCGGCAGATGTATTTACTCCTCTACATATTCTAAACCTTGAGTATTTGCACTAACCCTTATCTTCAAATTGTCTATTCTCTTATTCAGTTTTGTCGACTCTGGTCTAACACTTTTTCTATCTATTTTATTTTATGTACTACTGTGAACTGTGGCAACTTGAGCCGATCCACCTGTGTGCGACGTTCTATGTTGATTTCTTCAGTCAGTCAGATGAATCGATTATTTCAATCAGAATAGGAAGAAATACGCACTTCAAACTTTCCGCACTTTCTCGTAAAATTGTTTGTACTAAGAAAGTCTTAGATTTTTATTGTGGTTAAAATGGCTAAAATTCAAAGGACCTTCATTCATTTCCATCCAAATTATTTGAAAAAATAACGTACAGTCATTTGATACACACTTCCTTCCCAAAGCATAATTAACAAAAGATTAAAAGTTTTCAGAATGCTGAGTACTCACTCGAGTACATTCAAACAAACATTTCTTAAAGTTCCAGAAAAATATATGATTTGTTAGACAAATATTTTGACTGTGAATAGTTTTATTATTCCGTGAGATGAGTGAAGTGAGAATTTGATATCACCCCCGTAGTGTTGTAAGTGTTCATTTATCACTAAACTTCATGGCTTAAGAATGAGTTACGATATAATATCTGGTTTATATGCCAAATTCTTGTTAAGTAGCTCGAACAGGATGACAATTTGGAACTGACTGAAAAAGTGATGTTCAATTATATTTTAGTAACTTTATTACGCTTTGGTAATCCTTAAAAATATCCAAGCTATAAAAATTCGTCTAAATCTCATACCAGTCAATTTTAGTTCTTCACTAATGCCCTTTACTAAAGGATAAGACCAACAAGTGTATGCAAATTCCCGTTAATACCTTGCCTACTGATAAGAAAATCTAATGTTATACATATATTGACTTGATTGTGGCTACCAGTGAAATCCATGAGGTACATCTCTTCCTATTTAGAACCCACCAACTGGACGTAACTGCATCCAGTTGAGTGATGCTGTTTCCACTGGCCCTCGAACCTTTTACCTATCATATCAAACATCAAAGTGTTATCCACTAGGCCACTGACGCCACTGAGTTAATTATTACAATAAACATCCAGGCAATATCAAGGTGTGCACATAGGAGCTCATATACCAACAGAGGTTGATCAATTTTATCCAGTATAACAAAGGAGAATTACAAGTATCAAATAATAATAACTAATACTCGCTGTACAGGAAGTGGCTATCGTGCTTCAGTGGCCTAGTGGATAAGGCTTTGGCGTTTTAAGCGATGGCTGTTAAGTTAGAGCTTCAGTGGGGACAATGTCACTCACTGGAGTGGTGATGTATTCAGCTGACAAGTATCAAACAGGAAAAACGCGCCCCCCGGATTCCACTGCTAGCCTAAACTGAGTCAGCTATGTTGTAAAAAGTTGGCTATACTAACATTCATAACCATTCTGACACTATTTTAACAAAGGGTATTCGTAAGACTAATATTGAATGAATTCTACTCAATATACCATAAAAATTGGAGATGAACTGAACTGACACAGAACACCAGTAACCTTGAGTCTTGGAATAAAATTCTAGAACCCACAGATCTAAATCTACCAAGATGTGGATAATAAAATATGAAGGGATTAATCATAGGACTAATGCATGTACACAAAATGAGCTTCATTTATGTATCTGTAAGTGATTGTAATTAGTCTAGGATGTACTAAGAGAAATCTTATGAAATTAGTTTATTTTTCACGGATCTTCAAATAGAATAATTATTTTAAGCTCCCTAAGGACTACCCTCAAAATAGACTTCCTGGAGTTCAAGTGAGAACCCCTGACCCATGAAATCAGACATTAAAGATGTAATAACAAACACTTGATAAAAGCATTTAGTGAAAGTTATACTGTAAGACACGTTGGCAATAGCTGGGAAATACGAGTCATTGTAATGGCTTGGTGCTGACTATGAGTTGTGATATTTCTGAAATCAACCTCAAGTAGAATCACGGACATACGCTACTGAGTAGTATTAATTGACTTGGTTGTAGCTAACAGTGGAAAGGAGGACGCACGTTTCGTCCTTTATGGGGTTAGTCAGCTGGATGTACCCGCACCACAGCAACCAAAGTTGTTCCCAAAAAGACTTGAACATCGTATTCATGGCCTCAAACGTCAAAGCGTTATTCACTTGGACAAAGTTGTTCATTCCTCCACGGTACTCAAAGACTTTCAGAATGATGTTATCCGATGATAAAAGAAAACACTTTATCATTGTCTATATTAACTAATACATTCGAAACGTTCAACTCTCCTAACATACAGCTAAGCTGTTTCTTTATTTTGCACAAATTTCAGTAAGGTAAATAGGTTACCATAAAATTACGCTGAAATTATTATCAGAGGTAGTATTAAAAAAATTAAAGGATATGATGAAATTACCATGCTATCTTCAGTTTCTAGCCAGTTTCCATAAAGAAAGCAACCACGTTTTGAACAATGTCCATGTAAATCAAAGTAGAAGGCAACATTACTTTCTTCTAGTTGTAATTCGTTAGCATCAGATAGATGATGGGCTTTTCTCAGTTGATCTAATTGTTCTTTCAACATTTCCATTCTTTTCAGTTCATCTACATTTAAATCATCTACTGACGTATTCATTGAACCTTCATCGATCAATGTGGTTTTATTCTTTTCTTCTCTGACCATTGTTTCTACAGATTTTAATATTTCCACATACTGTGGATTAATTGATAAATCTTCTTGATTAGATTGCTCATCTAAATCATACAAAAATGGTACTTTGAATGTTGGAAGTTGAAAAATCAATTTACATTAAAAAGATACAGTAACTTCATTAATGATGGATCGTGGCCAGGAGTGGAATCCAGGATGCGCATTTTGTCCTATTTGGGACTTGTCAGCTGGATATACCTGCTTTTTAGTGAGTGTTGTTCCCACCGGGATTCGGACCTGGGAACAACATCACTGACTGGGAAGCAGGTACATCAGGCTGACGAGTCCCAAATGAGACAAAATGCTCATCCTGGATTCCACTGCTAGCCACGATCCATCTTTAATATAATACAACGCAGGCAATATCGAGGCATCCTCACTAAAGCCCATATGCCAATAGAGACCGACCAATTTGGTCCAAGCAACGACGGTATCATATAAAAAAAATTATACTCTACAGTAACTTTGCAGCAAAAATTGTGAGTGGAGAACTTTTATAGATGTGATAACTGACTTTACAATGAAATGCAATAAGCAGAGACCAAAGATCACACTTTGTGATATGGACTGAATAGTTTTTAATGGGAAACATGTTGACATTACAGCCAGACAGTTAAAAGAAACCAGTGGACATGAGTTTTGCATGCCAGACCACTGCCTACATCGATATGCAATGTTAGTTGAAGTTGAAGTCGTTTGGAAGAAGATTCGTGGCAACTAGATCAAGAGGTGGCAGTAGTCCATAAAGTCTCTGACTGCTGGTGTGGGAGTTATAGACTTTTGGGATTCTCGAAATGATAGGAATCCATTGTCGGAGACCTTTTGTGACGTGGCTAAAAATTGGCCATAATGCTGCAATTATAACTTTTAGACATTTTCTAAATTTTAAACATTTACATCGATCTTTATTTTTCAAATTTTTTTCCCAACCCAATTTTATTTACGCTGATACCACTTCATTTCTACCCACTTGTTTTCGCATATTGGCAATGCGGTAACTTAAACCAAGTTTCTACATTGATTTTATCTATGTCTGCTCACTTGTAGAAAATGTCAACATGGACCGTGGAGTTTTTAAATGACCTACAAACTGACCATTTTCTTTAAGATTTGCCGGTTTACATCAGCCAGCTAGTTTTCTTCATTTGGTCTCAATAACTGGGCAGTATGAGCAGAATTAGTCCGAATACACTTCTTATGACCTCAGCTTAAAACTACTGAAACAATCATCTGATATTTAGACCACTCTAATTTGGTTAGTAAAGTCTAAAGACCAACGTAAGTGGCATATCTAATTAATTTCTAGACATAACTTCACAAGTAGTCTTTATCTAATTGACTTCAATATTTTATTGGCAATTACTTTTTAGGACTCACCCTTAGACCCTTAAATGAGCTCCAAAAAAGGTGAAACTGGTAAATGTGAAACCATGTTTTGATATCCACTTAGGTTTTTTAATTACTTCATATAAAGCTGTGACGAATTTATCTTGTGTTATACTTCTAGAGTAGAGACAGACGAACAAATCAAAGCAGACCGTGGCACAGAAGAAAACCACTTCAAGGTGCTACAATTTACTGCGGCACGTGAAGGAATGATATTACAGCAGACGAAAATGCATTACACTTGAGCAAATATAGAGATGAGATTATCACTTGACTACCTGAGTTTGGCAGAGTAGTATTTATACTGGGTGATGATTGAAGGTGAGATGAAAATCCGGCCGGGGTCCAGATTTTCATCTCACCCCCAGTCATCATCCAGTAAAGATGGGAGTTGATGACCTTTACCAATCATACGTTTGCAATAGATGATGATGGTTGCTTGCCACTTACCCTGATCATTGTTTGTGAAGCCGGCTGCTTTTATAGACACTTTGTTTCACTACCTGTTCCATTACCTTCGAGTCCGTATCTCGATTAGTCCTTCCCATGTACGCGTCCATACACATACACATGTAAACTGGTAAATGCAGTGGGATGTAACCCAATCATTAATATAGCGATGACATATGTGATGCAACATGTATTCAGTTTTCTGGACTGCAATAAACCTAGCTAAATAATGTTTTGCTGATGGCAGACGTTAGACTTCATTTTAAAATTACTTTATCAGATTCCCCTCAGTACGGTGACATGATTCAAACGTTTTTCTCCCGCAAAGAATACTTAGTGGGTTTCAATATTGACTCATTTCTATGAAGGTCTTAAAGTTGTCATATAAAGCGATCATAGAACTGTTCCATAAGTGGTCCGCTTAATTATTTTACGGGTCCGCTCAGATCCAGTTATTTCAGCAATTTGCAAACCGAAAACGTTGACTAAAGAAAGGAAAATTCGCAACACAAAACTCTCAAAGCAACACAAAAGCAGTAAATAATAATGATTATAAATCAGTAAAAAAAAGTAATACCGTAACTCTGTGGGCAATGCGAAATGAACAAATCTAATTTCGAATCTCATTCCACTACACTGACTATATTTTACACTTAAATTAAAGGTGTCAGCTCGTCATATTATCAGTAGGTTTTAGCAGCACATAAAATAACTTCCAAGCCCTGTCATCCAGGAGCGTTGAGATCAACTGATAGCTGACATACAGTTGACAGGATCAATAGTTTACTAGCCGGTTCTAAGCCCAAATAAAGAGGAAAGGTTGGGAATACAGCTAGCAGCTCTAACCCGGAAAAACAATCCAGTCACCAAATAAACTTCAAAGCACAAAACAAATATAAAACATGAAAGTAAACTTATTCCTTGCCGAAGTTGGGGAAACGAAATGACGCCAGTTGGTGAAAGACTTCGGGAAGCCAATCGGCCGACATGTCTTCTCTTCTCTCGATGAAAGCGAAAATAAGAATGGGAACATGGAATATCCACACCATGTTTGGACATTGCAAGGATGCCCAGATTGCAAAAAAGATGAGAAGGTATAGCATAGAAGTGCTAGGCTAGGATTCTGCAAGGAATCAGCAGATGGAATGGAAGTGGACTGTTCAAACTGTCAACTGCATCGTTAATAATCTACCCCAATGTTGTCACCAAAACGACAACCACGAACACACTGAGTTCTGGAGTGGCTATCATGATGCCCCCCTCCCAAGAGCATCGACGCCTCTCTCTCATGCAGCGAAAACCAATCTCCTCCTCCTCCTACTCTTTCCCCTTCTCCTCCTCCTCCTACTCCTACGCCTACTCCAGAATCATGACAGCAAGATTCAACTCAGAAGGAAGGAAAGTCACAATCACAAAATCATACACTACGCTACGCACACACAAATAATGCAGATGAAGAGAAGAAGGAGGAATTCTACAGACAACTACAATCAGTCAGTACTGGACAACACTCCAGTTGACAACATCAAAATTCGAATGGGTGGGTGACCTGCCTGAATACCAAAATGTTGAGGAGCAGACAACACAGGAAGAGAACCAAACATGGGTGGAGAAGCACTCTGTGAAATGAAGGAGAATGGAGAACTGTTTGCAGATTTGTGTGCATTCAACGATTTGGTGATTGGAGACATTGTGTACAAATACAAGGATATCGAGATAGCGGCATGGATTTGATTTCACTGGATGGATACAGTAGATATGAGATCGACTTCGTCTGAATGTGAAGAAAGTGGAGAGTCAGTCAGCCTACTGGACACGAGATCAGATCAAGAAGGTGGGGGTGGGGGTGGGGGTGGGGAGTGGGAGGGGGGAGCAGATGTGTGTTCACACCACTCACTATCCAGTACAACGAACCTACATCCAATATCTAGTTGAATACCTTCATTTCAAGGAAGGTAATGATAGACCACAGTTGAAGTTGAACACGAGAACAGAAAGTGAAGGACGAAACTACAGGGGACATCTTCATGTCAGTCAGTGATTAGGACAAAATGGGAGATATTGAGCAACATCTGTGAGGAGACCTGTGTGGATGAACACTGGAACTCTTTGAAAGAGATGTGTAGAGAAACCTGCACAACCGTGTAAGGAAAGAGGAAGAAGAAGCGAAACGAGGAATGGATCTCGATGGACACATGTAAGGTGATAGAGCAGGGAGAGTCAGATGGTGATGGTGAAGTAGAAGATGAACCAGTGGAGTGGAGTGGAGTGGAGTGGAGTTGAGTGCTGTGCAGGGATGAACAAGGGAAAGATGAAGTGAAGACAACCTATAAAGCACTGCACTGGACAAAGAAGTAAAGAAGATTGTGCGCAAAGACAAAAGACACTTGTATGAATCATTATGAAGTGAAGTGGAATAGTATGCAGGTAGGAGAGACCTGACAACATTATATCAAATAACCAGGTTACTATCTGAAAAGAGATCAACGCATACGAGACCAAGGAATGATAGTGAAGGAAACTCAGTTACCAAAGTGGTGAAACAATAGAAACAATGAACTGACCACTTCAAAAAGCTCTTGAATCGACCACCGCCACCAATTGCGACTCGTACAGAAATGCCACCAGCAACCGCAGATCTATGAATGAACAAAGACCCTCCAACAAAAGCAGAAGTCCTGAATGCTGTAAAGTTGCTGAAATCTGGGAAAGCAGCAGGAGAAGATTGAATTCCCCCGGAATCACTGAAAATATAAGCAGAAACACCAGCAGCGAACGTACTAGCACCACTGTTGCAGGAGGTTTGGAAGGAAGGAAGGAATGAAAGATACCTGCAGATTGGAAAAAGTGCTACCTTATCGAATTCCTAAGCAAGGGAGTTTTAGCAAGAACTGGTGATGAATCATGCTGCTGTCCAAGCCAAGCAGAATATTAGGCCGTATCATACTGAAGAGACTAAAGGATGCACTCGATTCAAAATGAGGACTGGAATAGGCTGGATTCTGGGAGAAAAAATCATGTGCGGATCAAATTGCAAACCTACGCAACGCATCACCACAGAACAGAGTGTAGAATGGCAGCCAACTCTCTACCTCAACTTCATCGACTTTAAAAAAGCCTTAGACAGTACTGACCGATGGGTAATTTGGTAACTGCTTCAACACTACGCTTTCAGTACCATAAACCTTTACCAACCTCTTTCAACAGCTACATGAAGACTACAAATGCAAAGTGATTCACGATGAGAAGCTCATTGTCACCTTCGAAGTGAGGACAGGAGTAAGACAAGGCTCCCTACTATCACACATAATCTTCCTGATTGTGGTCGACTGGATCATGCAGCACACAGTGAGGTGCAAGAAAAAAGGCATACACTGGCTGGACCGACGAAGAGATCCCAGAAGAAGATTTGAATTTCGCCGATGATTTTTGTTTAATGTCGCACAAACTCAAAGATCTACAGGTGAAAACTAACAAGTTGACAGAAGAGGCAAGGCAGCGAAAACGGAACTTCCTTCAAGTCAATGTAGAGAAGATGGAGGTGATGAAGACACCTAACCAACAACAGCATCAACAACAAGCACTAATCAGCATGACGGGAGAAACCTAAAGAAAGCAGACTGACTCACCTACCTGACTAGGTAGTATCGTTTCAACTACAGGTGGAGACACAGGTGACGGCATTAAATCCAGGATCGGAATAGCAGGACAGGAGTTCATCAATCTGAAACCAGTGTGGAGATCTACTGCACTCAGTATAAAGCGTAAACAAGATCTGGATTTTCAACACCAACGTCATGTCAGTGCTTCTGTGTGATGGCTCAGAGACTTGGCGCACCACGAAAAGCACTTCCAACAAACTATAAACATTCATCAATAGCTGCCTTTGCTCGTTACTGAAGATCAGATGGCCAGAAAGAATAAGCAACAGGGAACTCTGGCTGACAACGAACCAAACAAGAACCTGTCAACTAACAAATATACAGAAGAAAAAGGAGATAGATTGGGCGTACACTGAGAAGGCCGACTGGAGACATCATGCGCCAGGTGGGCCCCCTAGAGTGGAATCCAAAGGGGAAAACGACGAGTTGAGCATTCGAGGTGAGAGTGACATGGAGGAGATGAGGAAGAAATGAAAGCTTGTGAGCAGTCGTGGCGCCAGGTTGAGAAGACTGCAGAGAAGAGAGTGTAATGGAGGCGTGCTATTGAATCCCTATATTCCAATAGGAACCCAAGGGACAAATATTAATAATATAGTTGACACTAAATAGAAACAGTGTACCGCGTTTCTCAGTAGTTACTTAATGTACTAAACGCAATCTATAAATATCAAAAGTTATTTGGAGACTTTAATGAACAAGATTAATATCCAGGCGTAAAAATGACCAATTTGAACAATTGGTAATAACGTGCTGTTAAGTTTTAAACCTTGTATCTTCATTTTTAGCTGTTAGAAGTCACAATCTATCTTAGCTCATTAACATAGTTTATAGGTATAGCTTAATTTTTCTTAAGTTTTGGAAATCGTTATTCGATCCACAGCCTCTGTCTATTACATTTTTATATATGCTTGTTTAAATATATTCACACATTTGTTGATTGTCTGAGTTTCTACGATGTTGTAAAACTGGGCAGCTTATGTTACTGTGCATTTGCAAATACGCCTGCGTCTTAGTGCCAATTCCTTCTCATACCTGCAATCTATTTTTTGGAACATATAAATTACACTGAAATCAGCTAGTGATGCCTTTGATGCATAGAAAGATACAATTCCTGAAAAAAACATCCGCTTGATTTCTGGTTATGTTGCAATATGTATCAGGCTAATTTCGCTTTTCAGTGTTCTACAGAATTTTCCCCCTACACAGCTCAACATTTGCTGATTGCTTAGCTCGATCCCATGTTATATGTTACCTGGCCAAAAAGTAAATAAAAAGCTTTAGGTTACATACAATATACCGTAAAAGCGTAAAACAGTTTATCTATTTTGATTGAATACCTCTCTATCACGAAAATATTTTGTTCCTGCAAAACCCATAACATTTTTAACGCTAATCGATTCAACCCAGCAAATACTGAATGCAGAAATTTTCGACAAGTTACTTTTACAAAACCCATGTATTCAGTGTAAAACCTTTATCTATATGCGAACAGGATCCGATACAAAAATCATCAGTAGCTCTCTCAACCTGTACGATAGGAAGTCACAAGACCTTTGATACCAGTGGAAAGCCTCAGGTGTTAGCCACCAGTTTTCAAAAAGACTTAAAATGCTTAATAATGCAAGTTAAAACGGATCTCTGCTGATCAACTACTCTAGAATTATCAGCTGCTACGTTTATTTCGCCATGCTTTTCCTTTAGTTATCGACGTAACAAAGTCAAGGCGTAGGAAAGATTCAAGTACTTGAACTTCATAAGAAGCCTTCTTGTAGAATTTAACATGATTCTTTCTGTTGATGAAAATAACTTTTGTTTTTGGAAGTTCCAAAACTGTTTAAAAGTTGTTGATAGTCAGTAGTTTGCGATAATAAGATGAAGCATTCATCATTGTGGGATTATGTCAATGTGGTTATGAGCAATAAATTGTGTTGGAAACGTCGTCAGCAAATAATACTGTTTCACCGTGCAATTCACAAAAATGAAACTATAATGGGATTATACTGTACAGCAGTGCCCAAATCATATTGTCATATTATTGAGACTTACATCGTCTCTACCTTTAGAAAGTTCACTTATTATATACATCAAAATCATAGGAGTGTTATTGTGTGACCAATGCTTTAACAGTATTACATGCCCTTATGCTTATATGGGTGTAAAAAATGGTCTACAAATATTGAACTGGTTTTCTGTCTGGTTGTACAAACATTTGCCACATCTCCATTCCATATCAGATTCCAGGAAATAGTTTTACACCTTAAAGACCAGCTGTCTTAGTATTTTTAGAAATTCGCATTGTTTTCACTGAATGTAAGCATTCCAGTTATTTGCAGACTTGGAATTTCTAAGTAAGGTGAAAACATCTGACTACTTGTTTTCATTGTTCCAGACCAGTAATATGATCAAGCAGGGATGAAATTCTTATAACAGAAATCCAGGTGTAGTAATCTGACTTAAAGATGGGCTATCCAACTTATTTGTACAAGTGATAATTTTTCATTAAATGCACTAGCCTTTGTAAGCATGTTATTTGTTTTGTACAACCATACAAGGATTGCTCAGCATTCAGTGTTGTTTTCTATATCTACCTACCGGCCTATGCACAAGCTGATACCCCATCCAAGTCACAAATAACAAAATCTACAGGATACACTCGAAATACGCAATGGTACAATTTTGAAAAGCACAGAAAAACTTATTTATGACTTACTATTTTCATCTTCATCCATATCGGACCCTTCATTACCTATTACAGAACAAGACGACTCAAAACAATATAAATCTTCATTTACTAATTGTATAGCCGTTTCACTTGAAATATTCGCCTCATTGTCAGGTGATAAGTGGTTTCTTTGTTTGTTTTCATTATATTGGTCACTGTTGTTTTCTTCGTCACCATTATGCTTGTGTTTACATTCCTGAGCATCTGATGTCACAAGTGCACTAACTGCATCATAAAAAGGCATCATTTGGCTATGATGCAGTATTTGATAGTCATCATTCAAGAAAAATAACTTTTTCTCGTCACTTTGGTCAGATTCCAACGGTGATGTATACTGTAATAATGATTTCTCAGAATCAAGTGATTTTAAGTTCTTTTGTGAATCATCTATTTCACTATCGAAATTCAATATCTGTGCAGCATTTAATTTAATGGAAGAGTTCACTGGTTCTGCCTTTTCAACAAGTGATTTTGATACACGTCCAGTTGTAACAGCCTGTTGGTATGGCATATTCCATTCCCTATAAATAAGTGAGTATATATATATATATATATATATATATATATATATATATGCACTTTGCACCACCATCAAGAAAATTATGGGTTAGCGCAAACTTATCAAAAACTTATCAGGCTTGTTTCCTGAGAGCAGTCCCTCTAGTTGTAAACTGGACTTTTAACACGATCTGCAGGGTATCTCAACTGGGGACGAAGAAGATACATTCTGTTGATCATTTTATCAATGCTGTTTATTTTAATGGGCGCTTATTGTTAGACATATTTTGTAGTCTTCGATTGGCCGTGCAAAAATCAACGTTGTGGACATATTTACGGTTGTGTTTCTTTCTTTTAGGTTTCGGTCTCAAACCAATATCTTACTCACAGACTTGATTATTTTGTTTCAGAATGGTAATAAAAATGAAATCATGGTGAGCATGCAACTCCCTGATAGTATCATTGCTACCTAATTACTTATTTATTCATCCACCATCCATGTATGGATACTTAAACAAACTTCGTAATTTAAGCGTAATTTTGTCTTAGTTTTAAGGACTCAATAGGAAGCAGGCACTGTTTGATATGGGCCGCATTTCTGTTGGTATTCATTACCATAGTGTATCATCGGTCATACGAATACTAATGTTGTCTCAATGATTGCAGCCTGAATATCTCAGCAATTAGGTTACAAACTTTAACACTGAGCTATTCGTCTCAAAAATTAGTTCTATTTAACTAGACGGAAGCCAATACAGCTGTAAAGCCAGAGATAATCGAGTAAAACTTGGCGGCTATGTGGCTTACGAACCTAAGAACAGTTTCGTTACCATACTTTGAATCCATACCTTCGGTAGTTTTACTGGCTACACACTTAAACTGATTCATATTTAGTTCATCAGAACTATATAAGTTTTTGACATTTTAACGTTTTGCACATTTATTCAGTGTGAATAAAGAAAATTAATATGCATAAACAGTAATTTCACAAGGGGGGCCACAAATTATTTACCAAAATGAAGAATAGCAAAGCAATACTGAGACAGCCTTACTTCACAGTTCACATAAGAAATAGCACACATGTATACTTGGAAATGTCTATTAGAAGTTGCAGAGTTACTCAACAGTACACTTGACTTTTTATTCGACACCGAAATTCCACTCATTTTGAAGTTCAGTGAAGTACTTTCCTCTCCATAGACCAACTGATTTAGACTGACGTTTGTAAAAATGCAATGAAATTCAACTGCATATATCTTAATATTTGATCATCAATAAATCTGTCTTACTGAAACCTTAATCTTTCTGATGATATATATAGCCCTTCAGAGTATTTCATTTAAGTTTATCAGATAAATCGCAGTGAAAAAGTGTTCTTAGCCGGATAATGTATTTGACATAATTTATTGTCATTAGTCATGCAGAGGTGGTGGACAAATTGTGTTCAAATGTTATCCAGTATATAACACTGTTTTGCTGTAAAAGAAAACTAACTAATATAGAGTTACATCCCGCCACAGTACCAAAGTTTTATAGCTTGGAAGTTTGTGGGCATCGACTGATTTCAAGGTTATATTCATCACAAAGTGACATCAGTTAAAGAGCCACCAAAACATGGAAGCAATGGACAGCTGTTTCGGCTTAGTATGAGACTCCTCGATCATGACCTCTTCAGAGGTCCAACTCAAGACTGTCAGGTCTCGTGGCTAACAAGTTAAACATCAAGTTAGTGGGTCAGTAGTTAATGGTTCACGTTTTCCTACTTCCTTCAATTCATAATACACTGTGACCATCATCCAATGTTATTGTTGAGTAGTTATCCTCATATCCGACTTTGTTTGCCCCACAGGTCACGACTTCTCGTTGGAACTTCAGGAAATCGCATCTCTTACACTCAACAAGAAATGACCAGTCACAGTACATATATAATAGTGATTTTATATCGGCGAAATTGGAAAAAGATATGAATTTAGAGACTGAGATATCAACAAATTTTCAAGTATTCATAGTCCAACAAAAGATAGTTCAGATGACATTTGTAAACTGCTGAGGAGTCCCATACTAGGACGAAACAGCTGTCCAGTGCTCCCAGGTTTCCTTTGTTCCTCCAACTGATGTCAGTCTTCGATGAATAACAACTTGAAATAACACCATTCCGTTTGACAATTTAATAAAAGGATAACTAAAAACAGCCAGTAAACAAGAGATGATTTTTTAAAGCTTTGTAGATCAATGAATTTTTTAATAAAACGTCCTTAGAAAACAAAATGCTGAAGCAGTGAAATATTTAACTAATGAGTACTTTTTAAGCAGAAAGCAAACCCTCTGCAATGTGCTTTCGGTCAACATTTACATCTTTTCAAAATTACGTTTTTAAACAATCCCAAAGCATTCAAAATATGAAAACACACGTAAACAAGGGTTTGGTAACGAAAAATAAATGTTTTTATAGAGTGTATCATTCATCTATTGTTTTATTTAAACAATAAAATTACTTTCATGTGAAGTGTTTTTTTAAAAATTAAGAAACTACATTAACTTACATAAGAAAACAAGGAAGACAATCAACTTTCAATGTTGGACAATGTTTGCTTCTATTGAACAATGGTGGAATACGATTTGGTTGACTATGGACTGATGATTTTAATCCACTATTTCTGTATTCATTATATGACTTTTTAGATTTTTTATCTTGTCCACTTGATCGTTTGATGATGATATTACTTGGTGTTGATGTAATAAGTCGCCTAACTGTTGGGGTTAAATTACTCATTGTCGATGCTGGAGTTGTTGATGATGATGGTTTTGCTCCCGGTGATGGTGCTGCAGTTGAAACGATTTGCCGTGAAGCAACTTCTTTATTAAATATTGACGGAATTCTGTATGAGTTTAAATGATTTTTTGAAATGTCCGAGAAATCTTTGTTTAAATCAGCTACATAAGATGATGTGGATGTTGACCTTGCTTTGTTTGTCTTAAGCAAACGTTTCACTGATGAATTGTGTGATATTTTAATACCTTGACAAGTATTTGATACAATTCCTGTGTCAATCGTTTCAGTAACATTATTTTTGTCATCAAAACTATCAACTGAATAGTTGATTCGATGTACTACTGGTACTCTTTCGTTAATTAGCGATTGACTAGAATTACTAATTAGCTGTTCAACATTTTCTAACGAATCGAGATATGGATTATTTTCTTTTTGATTTGGTACTGTTATTTGTGGTGTCATTGGTTGTGTTGATGTTGGCTCTGGTAGGAATAAGTTATTAGTTACCTCTTGTACGAAAGTTGACCTATTACTTGTGAATAATTCATCAGATTTTATTGAGTGATTTGAGTCCAAATAGGACAGTAGTTTGTCTGTAGATTCTCCCTCAGTTGTTATATTGGGTTCATCTGCGGATTGGTTTTCTGAATTAATTTGCTATAATACAGATAATAAAATGTATGTAATAAACTTTGAATTTATTCATAAATTACTATGAAATTTACAACGAAACTGGATGTTAAATAAGGAGTCAGATTTCGTCATGTACGTGAGCAAAATAGAACTAAGTATCACTGCATAGCCCGCTATCACCTGTATCACATGGTTAACTAGTTCACTAGTTACTAGCCGGTCCTAAGCCCGGGTAAAGAGGGAAGGTTGGGCATAGGGCTAGCAACCCTACCCCGGAAAACAAATCCAATCGCTAAACAAACTTCACAACACACACGAAATATAAAAAATAATAACAAAATTATTCCTCGCTGGAATCGGAGAGGCGAAATGACTCCAGTTGCTGAAAGCCTTCGGTAAGCCAATTGGCTGGGCCGATGTGTCTTCTCTCCCTCAATGAAAGCGAAAGTAAACGTGGGGACATGGAATGTCCGCACCATGTTTGAACCCAGCAAGGCAGCCCAGATTGCAAAGGAGATGAGAAGGTATAACATCGAAGTGCTTAGGATTTGCGAAAGCAGATGGAATGGGAGTGGACTCTCCAAACTGTCAACTAGAGAATCAATAATCTACTCTGACATTGTCACCCAGACGACAACCACGAGCACACTGAGTTATGGAGTGGCTATCATGACGTCCCTTGAAGAGCATTGAAGGCTCTCATGCAGTGGGAACCAATCTCCTCCACAATCAGGATCATGACAGTAGGATTCAACTCAAAAGGAAGGAAGGTCACAATCATACAATGTTACCCTATGCACCTACAAATAATGCAGAGCAAGAGAAAAAAGAGGAATTCTACAGACAACTGCAATCAGCACTGGACAGGACCTCAGTTGGCGATATCAAAATTCTAATGGGCGACATGAATGCCAAACTGGGAGGGGAAAACACAGGAAGAGAACTAACCATGGGTCGAGGAGAAATCGGTGAGGTGAAGAACGAGAATGTAGAATTGTTTGCAGAATTCTGTGCATTCAACGATTTGGTGATTGGAGGCCAGGCAGTGTGTTCAAGCACAAGAATATCCACAAAGCGACATGGATTCCACCAGACACCAGACACACTGAAAATCAGATCAACTTCATCTCAATGTGAAGAAAGTGGAGACGCAGTCTACTGGACACAAGGTCTAGAAGGGGAGCAGATGTAGGTTGAGACCACTCACCATCTAGTGCAAGGAACCTGCCTTCCAAATCAAGTTGAAAGCCTTCAAGGAAGATAGTGATAAACTACAGCTCAAGTACAACACTCAGAAACTGAAGGATGAAACTACAAAGGAGATCTTCACAGCAGCCATCAAGACAAAATGGGAGATATCGAGCAACATCCCTGAAGAGACATGTGTGCAAAAACACTGGAAGTCTTTGAAAGAGATGTGGAAAGAAACCTGCACAACAGTATTAGGAAGGAAGAAGAAAGAAGACAAGGAATGGATTTCGACGGATACCTGGAACCTGATAGATTAGGGAAAGTAGGATGGTGAAGTAGAAGACAAACCAGTGCAAGGATGCACAACAAAAGGTGGAACTGAGTACAATGTATAAAACACCGAACAAAGAAGTGAAGAAGAGTGCACGGAAAGACAAAAGACACTTCCACGAAACACTGGCAAGTGAAGCAGAACAGGCTGCAGGTAGGAGAGACAGAGACCTGACAACATTGTATCAAATAACCAGATTGCTGTCTGGGAAGATATCAACGCAGACGAAACCAATAAACGATGATGAAGGAAATTTAATTACGGAAGAAGAGAAACAAAGGAAACAATGGGCCGACCACTTCAAGAAGCTCTTGAATCGACCACCAGCACCTACACTTCATCCAGAAATACCACCTGCAGCCGCTGAACTACAAGTGAACATAATTCCTCCAACGAAAGTGGAAGTCCTGAGCGCTACAAAGCTAGTAAAATGCAGGAAAGCAGCAGGACCAGATGAAATCCTGCCAGAAGTACTGAGAACAGGCGTGCGGACAGCAGAAAACATGCTCACACCACTACTGCAAAAGGTTTGCAAGGAAGGAAAGGTAACTCCCAATCGATTTGAAGAAAGGCTACCCTGTCAAACTCCCGAGGAAGGGCGACCTAAGTGTCTGCAAGAACTGGCGCAGAATCACTCTCCTGTCCATCTCAAGCAAAATATTAGGCCGCATCATCCTGGAGAGGCTTAAAGATGCACTGGATTCAAAACTACGAACAGAACAGGCTGGCTGGATTCACGAAGTACAAATCATGTGCAGACCAAATTGCAACGCTTCGCATCATCATGGAACAGAGTATAGAATGGCAGTCAACTCTCTACCTCAGCTTTATCGACTTTGAGAAGGCCTTTGACAGCGTCGACCGAGAGGTAATTTGGAAGCCGCTTCAATACTGCGGAAAACCACAAACATTTATCAGCCTCATTCAACAACTATATGAAGATGCCACATGCCAAGTAATCCACAATGGGAAGCTCAGTGATGCTTTTGCAGTGAAGTGGAGACAGGAGTGAAACAAGGTTGCCTACTATCCCCCATGATATTCCGGATTGTGGTCGACTGGACTGGATCATTCAGCGAACAGTGGGGAGCGAGAAGAGGGGGATACGCTGGCTGGACTGCGGAAAAGAACCTAGAAGACTTGGATTTCGCCGATGACTTGTGCCTGATGTTACATAAACTTGAAGATCTACTGGCGAAAACTAACAAGTTGACAGAAGAGGCAAGGCAGCGAAGACGGAACTTCCTTCAAGTCAATGTAGAGAGGACGGAGGTGATGAAGATACCCAACCAACAACAGCATCAACAACAAGCACTAATCAGCATGACGGCAGAAACCTAAAGGAAGTAGCCTCTTTCACCTACCTAGGCAGCACCGTTTCAACTACAGGTGGTGACACAGACGAGGACGTCAAAGCCAGTCAGGATCGAATAAGCAAGACAGGAGTTCATTAGCCTGAAACCAGTGTGGAGATCTTCTGCACTCAGCACGTGGAACAAGATCCGGATTTTCAACACCAACGTCGTCAGTGCTTCTGTATGTTTCAGAGACTTGGTGCGTTACGGAAGGGATTTCCAACAAGCTACAGACATTCATCAACGACTGCTTATGCTCACTACTGAAGATCAGATGGCCAGAATAGCAAGAATAAGCAACAAGGAACTCACTCTGTTAACGAACCAACCAAGAACCTATCGCTCAACAAATATGCAATAGCAGGAAATGGAGATGGATTGGGCATACACTGAGAAGGCCGACTGGGGACATCACGCGCCAGGTGGGCCCCCTTGAGTGGAATCCAAAGGGGAAAACGGCGAGTTGAGCATCCAAGGTGAGGGTGACATGGAGGAGATCGTGCGAGGAGGAAATGAGAGTTTCTGGGCTGTTGTGGAGCCAGGTTCAAAAGATTTCAGAGAACAGAGCGCATTGGAGACGTGCTACTGAAGCCCTATGTTCCATTGGGAACTCAAGGGACAAATAAAAATAATAAATAAATAATTGTATAGCATCACACATAGATATACTTGACTTAAAATCTTATTTCTTAGTAGCCTATCCGCAGACAGCAGCGATAACGCTGATGAACACAAACTTATCGACCCTAGGCTAAAAAATTATCCTTTCTAACTGGGCTAATGTTAATAAATGCTTAAATTCCTTGAAACAAAACTTTATGAAAGATATGTTACATAAAACTACACTGTATTCAAAGACAAACTATTCATCAAGTATTAACCCTTATATTTATAATTACTAGTACGAAAGATCAGCATACTTATACCAAAAAATTAACTTGTATTCTAGGGATGAAAAAACAACATATTGCACACTACTATAGCAATTTAAGTTGCTACTTTTCTCAAGATTAAACAAAGTGAAACAAAAATGAAGATGCCACAAAAAATTAGATTACGAAAAGGCCATGTCAATGGAAAAAGATAAGTTTAATATCATAATAAGGTGCTTAAGATTTAAGTATATTATGCATCTAATTAGCTAAGAACAGTTTTGGATATGCAACCGGTGGTTTGCAACTACTTATTTTCAACATCACACCAAAACTAGTCAGGCTGCATAAACTCTTACTTACAGTTCATAATAATTTTTTGGATGAATGAAACATTTTTGAGTAAAGCCAACTTGGTATTTTTTCTAATTCATTTCTGTGACTTTATATAATTCTGTCCAAATTAGGCAGCCTAGTAATGTTTTTCATTCTAATACTCCTAACTAAAAAATCATAAATTATTTGAATATATTTACTATTGTTTTAGTTTCGAATTATGTCGATTTCTTTTTACTTGTATTTAAATGACTAACAGTAAGATTTGAAATTGGTGAGTAGCATAGAACACAAAATGTAAAAATAGGTACTGCCTTAGTTTAATGTACATTAAAGAAATACCAAACAAATGAAAACTACCGAGCATTTGAATGGAAAATCTAGTCATATTATTATTGTTATTTTCCCTTGGGTTCCTAGTGGAATATAGAGATTCAATAGCACGCCTCCATTACACTCTCTTCTCTGCAGTCTTCTCAACCCGGCGCCACGACTGCTCACAAGCTTTCATTTCTTCTTCACATGATCTCCATGTCACTCCCACCTCGGATGCCCAACTCGTCGTTCCCCCTTTGGATTTCACTCAAGGGGGCTGACCTGGAGTATGATGTCCTCAAACGGTCTTTTCAGTATATGTCTGATCCAATCCATCTCTAACTTCTTCTACGTATTTGTTGGGCGATGTGTTCTTGGTTAGTCTGTTGCCAGAGTGAGTTCCTTGTTGCTTATTCTTTCTGGCCATCTGATCTTCAGTATCCAGTGTAGGCAGCTATTGAGTGTTTATTAGAAAATGTTTTTAATTCCTGAATTAGTGGTTTCTGTCTTTTCCCCATTGCTTTCTAAGAGACTACTTTTTTCTCAAATCTTTTAAAATAGTTAGCAACTTATCCTTTCCAAGCAGTAAACGGCTGACAAATCCCTGTATTATATACTTAAAAGCAATTTAAGGCGTCAAAGAGGCATTTACTTCCATTATGAAGAATTTTATTATCATTTAAAGATATGATGAATTTAAGATTTAATGGACTATTTGTAGGTTTAAGTGGAACAATAATGGAAAGCTATGGCTTGAAACTAATGTTACTGTTCAAACACTCATTTTCTATATTGATTTCGTCTACGAACATTATTTCACTTTCCGGTGTTTAATTCTTTTTCATGCTACTTTTCCACGCTAGTTTTCAATTTTCGTCCTATTATAGAATGTAATAAGCTATGGATGTACAAAATTTATTCCAAGGTTTAAATTTTTTGACTCACTCATTAATACTTTCTAGTAAATCTACATAATGATATAACTCGGTTACATATATAGACACCTCAGCAGTAAATTTCAGATTCCACCCTCCATGATTGCTCAGTTCGCCGAGAAGTATAAAAGGTGTACTGGGACGTCGAATTGTGTATAAATGTACCGTATAAATATTCATTTACCTTGGCTGTTTCAAATCTTTTAAGACGGAGATTCCTTGCTTATTTCGCCTCTTCAATCAATCTGATAATTACCCTTATGATCACGTGGCCCTTCTCGAAACTTCGAGTCAAGATGATTGGCTTTGAAAGGCTTCATTGATTTAGACCTTCTTACAAGGATCTAAGATGTCACACCATAACGCATATGGTTTCTAATTCCTAAGAGATCGCTTTAAACAACGGAGAATACCCTAATACAATACTGAAAATGGGCAGTTATACATAACTTGAAACTTACTTCTTGTACATTATAATCAAAGGATTTATCATTTGATAATTTTGAAATTTCACTGAATGAAAATGATGTGTCCAATGTATTTTGATCAACAAAGTCTTGAGGATTTTCAATATCAGTGGTACTTTCAGTAGTAGGCAGATTATCAGGAGGAGGAGCAACAGAAGCAGCACTAGGTTTGGAGAATCAGTAAGAATTTGTCGTCTAAAAATATTATCTAAAAATGGTGCATATAATTTTACTGTCCCATAGTTCGTATGATAATATGTTATTAATGCTTTAGTAGCATAAATTGATGGATAATATAAAAAATCCGGTTTTAAATAAACTCGATTCAAATTTACACCACGTGTATCTGTTCTATAATGTCCATGAAATACACCGTCAGGATTTAACATTGGTATCAGTTTGAATATATAATTTTTACGTAATTCACATGCACGTTGATCATTTAAACGAAGTAAAAATTCCAATAATCCATTGAATACATGACTTGATGGCGTTTCACCCGGATGTACACGAGCACTAACTAAAACTACCTAGTTAGAAGTAATTAAGTAAAAATGAAAAAACTTCTATCAAACATTTAACTATTATATTTTTAATTTAATACTTTGAAGGAAATCTACAAAATTAGGATCTGGTCAGCCGCTACATCTCATAATTCAGTTGGTAGAGCATCTGTGTAGTTTACCCCAAGACCGCCGGTTCGAATCCTGCCGAGATCCAGATATTTTTATTAGACTTTCAGTCATTATCCAGTATCAAAAGTTCCCTTTATTTAGATTATAGCTTGATTTAGGTAACCTTAAATGGTCATAAGAGTTCGACAGACGAAAGAACTCAAGTCTGTTATTTCTTGGAAACTTACAGCCATCAAAAGACTTAAATCAAATCTATGTGTACACTTGTTAGTCTTGCATAATTGTAGTAATCAGTTTTACAATGAAATGAACGTATGTTTTTGCTACATCATTCTATCTTCCTTACCTTATTCTAACTCATACCTTATTTTCTTATTTGAACTCCGCTCACCCTACTTTTTAGGCTGTTGTAAATTTTGAAGTTACGCAATCTATGATAATTATTTTTCGTCAATGCTGTAACCTTCTCCTTCAAGAATACTCACCACTTAATCATACAAATAATCAGTCTTCTCTCACATTTCCTACGATCTTCTCTACCTTAATTATTTACGTTATCTACTTTACTAGTTGATCCTGACAATAAATTTATGTCAACTTGTTAAAAGTGTGTTCATTTCTCATAATGTATACATTTTAATATTATTTAGGTTGTAAGCAGTTGGGAAGATGTCTTAAAATAGTAAAACTGAGCCTATATTATCCTGTCACACCTTTTGTTTTGGGAGTGACCTTAAAGGCCACCCTAACAATTGCTGTAACAGCCAATTACATATTTTTATTTTGCGAAAAAATACTTCACAGTTGAAGTACCAAGACTTGACTAGTTATTTTAGTGGTTGCTAGGGTGGCCCCCAAGTCTCGTTTTTTTCCCGCTATCGAATTTTGTAAATGAGAAAAATTTTGGAGAGTTTGTTAACTTACAGTTGGATTAAACCTTGCAGTTTTATGTGACTGATGAATATACTTACGAGAACCTAACGACTTTCTGATACTCTGGCAATTCTAAAACTTTGTTAAGCTTATGAAAACTATTTTTTAAAGCAATGTCATCCATTATTCAATAACTGATGAGACTGGCAAAGGCATCCAAGAAATTTCCTGGATTCAACTCCTAGCCACTATCCATCATTACCGTTAAACCTTAATTACTGACAATATCAAGACTTCCATACAGAAGGTCAAGCGCTATTAGTGACCGATCAATTCGATCTGATCAACCGTAAGAATCTAAAAGTTAGAACATATATAGAGTATTATACTGAATAAATCAACGATTTTTATTCAATAAGTGATTGCCAAGTTGTACCCGTATCTCAGATGTATCAAATATTTCCCTATTTGACTGTTTCACTGAAATAATTTCGCTGTGAACTGAAAAGTCAAAGGTTGCGTGACTGATACATCTAGAATAATAAGAGTTGACTTTGTAAGCTAGAATGATCAACTGACAATGCTGTGCTATTTCAGTTTTTATCAATAAGTGTTTTAATCATAAGCTGCAGTAGTGTTTTGTTAAATATCTACAGACAGCATGTTAATGAATAAACATTGTATTTTAATTCTTTTGAAAAACAAATCCTCATTTATAGTGAACACCTAAATGCCTTCATTAGGTATTGATAATAAGTCGTATTCCTTGGTCAACTTGTATCAATAATCTACTGACTCAGAGGTGATATCTTAACCTGTTTCAGTGTACAATGAGCTTTAATGAAATTCATCAGCGTCTTACATATTCGTGTCTTGAGCAATGAACCACGCATATTGCTTGAAAACGAATCATACTATGTAATCGCTCAAACTTTGGTAGGTAGAGGTAGATTGCAACTCCCCATTCCGACAGTTTAAAGTCAAGTATCTTAATCCATTAATCATCCAAGATCACAATGTAAGAGGATCGAATGCATTTTTAGAATTGCTAATACAGTTTTATAGACAGAGAGGCAAAATCAACGTAGAATCTTACACACTTCCTCATGTCACACTTTAGTTAATTAGTTAACACTTTTACTGAGCAAGTAATCGAATGTTGACTTTGTCTAATTCATAAAACCCGAAGGGTTTATAGCAGGAACCTAAAGTCTATGCTGAATATGTGTTCAGCCTCTTAAAAAGGCATTCACAGGTTCAACATAAAAAGATTCAAGGTAGTTTATTTGATACCGTAACACTACTAGGAACTACTTTGTCTAAGACCGCCCATGATTTATATCAAGCAGTGATTTTCTTTAAGTAAACCAACCTTTTTATTCGTAAACTTCCACGACCTTCTTATAGTTGCATCGGGAAATAATAGTGGATCAAAGCGATCTTCTTCAATATTTGTACATCCAGACCAGTCAGAAATTGTTAACAAGTCAATTCTTCTTCCTTCAAGACTGTAACATAGCAATTCTCTATGAAAGTAAATTTTATCAAATAATTCTCTTTCTCGAAAATATGTTTTATAACCTTGTAGCAATGTTGATGGTGATGAAGAAGAAGAAGAGGAAGCAGATGAAGGACTACCACCGTCGCCATCACAAGCTGCTGCTACAGTCGTTGTTACTGTATTCGTAGTAGATGACGTCATAAACCCATGAAGGTCTTCATTAATATCATGAACAGCGTCATCGTCTATTTCATTTGATTTCACTAGCCTACTAACGTTTTCATCATTCTCATTGCGTTTATAAGGGAATAGATCTTTATCAAGATGACTTGTTCCATAGTGAAATATACTATCTAATTTATTCAATTGCATCTGCATTTCATTATATGTCCATGGATAGCAAAAGGCGAAATAGGTAACACTTCCACGTGGATCTAAAAATCGATGTATAAATGTGAGTAGAAATTGTCCATTGACTATTTCCCATAATGGTTTATCACGGATACGTTGCCATCTAAAATTCAGACAGTTAAAGCATACATTTTCCATACATATATTTCTCTTTTGTCGACTTGAAAAGAGAAAGGAATAAAATCCAGAATAGAATAACATAGATTATTTCTTTTGTTTTATCCATTTTCTATGGGTTTATACAGTCTATAATATATTAAAAACCTCGGTCTTAATTTACTCACTTTTCGTTACTGCATATTACTACATCTTGTTTTCTGATTATTACTAATATATCTACTTACTGACTTGCACAATCTGTTTTTATTAATTCGACAGATCACGAAAACGTTCATTTTGATATGTATCTAACATGACATTTCAAGTCGATTTCGTTCCAATAATATTCACCGTTGTCCCGCTTAACTTTACTGGGTAGGTGATTTTTACTAAATGAACAAAATTCGTTTTCAGTATCACAGGTTATGTGCAGCAGAAAAGAACCTATGGAAAATTAGAATGGATCATTGTTCTACTCTATTACTTATTCTTGTTGGTTTAAAATGAAAATATGCAAAGAACAGACATACGTGTGATATGATAAAAGAAGCCTGCGTTGAAAGATAGGTTAAATACGCCAGAATAATATTGTCATCATGTGGATGACACTTTTAATATGTAACAGGAAAGATGATTAATGAAGATCTAGAGAAATATTCAATGAGTTCCATCTTTCCATTAAATTTACTAACGATGAATAATAGAGGAACGGTATATCCTTTCCAGACCTCCTTCTTACGAAAGAAAGAAGGTTCAATAAAAGGAATGTATTCAGGAGGACTGTATCGAAAGGATAATACATAACTCCAGAAAGTATGAAGTACAAAACGTACATGGTTGAATGCTTTACTCGTAGAATAAATCTGGTATGATCTGTGGAGATGAGGAAGGCCTTATAGCGGAATTATTTTATAACCAAATGCTCCTCCTAACCTCACAGCAAAGTAAATCCTAGGATTGTAAATCAACTCCTTAATATGTTTTTTCTCTATACTTATTTATGAAAGTTTGCCTACTTCAACTTTCTTTTTGTTGAGTAAACTTCTCGTAAGTTCCTTTGTTTTATTGGGTGATACTCAAATCTATGGAGTGAGACGTATCAATACTCCATCGTCAATTCGAAATTAGGATGAAGTAAGCTAAACGCTTTGAGAAGATTATTAGCATGATTTATGTCAGTATCAGATGCTTATTTTGTTATGTACGAAGAGGACTTCATTAACATACTTTATGTAGAACGTTATTTCATTAATTTCAGACGCTAATACTTTCTTTTCTATTTTATCATGAATATGTTTGTAAGAAATAGCCCTGATTGGCTCTACATAGCTATACAACCATCTTAGCAGTTGAAAACTGACCTTGGCATAGAGAGAGAGTTAGTTGATAATTTTCAACTGTATTGGTGGCATAAATTATGTGACATGATTTACTAATTCATTTTATTCCTTTCTCTACTTTTGGTTATAAGGGTTTCATTTTAATTCCAGATTCGATTTATTTATTTATGGTAGTACACAGCAATATAGATCTACTTAGTTATCATTGTTTACTTTACTTCATCGAGTTATCGTTATTTGTCTAGTAAATGACACTGTATCGCTATCTACTATGTTAAATAAACAAATTTTACTCAGAAAGACATAGTCCTACTGTACTAAAGTCCTATACTTATATTAATGCTTCATTTTAATTCTTAATGCAACTTATTGAGTTTGACTCAGTTTGTCCTCTTCTCCTACCACCTGTAGTGAATTTTGTCCACCAAATTTCGTAGTCACTGATATACAAAAACAATTATTTCAGTTAGTTGTAACAATATTTTAAAGAAATTCTTTTTATTATTTTAAATTTTGGTTCCAACCTCCAGACGAATATTTTCCAATCTTTGATGGACATCTTATTTTTCAATGGTCAAGGATGGTAACATGCAATATTTTTAGCTTGTAGGCAGGTGAAAAGTGAAGCAGATACACTGAAATACACTAGTGTTAACTGGCTAGAAGTACTCGGCAGGAAACCCTGGATCTAATAATCGAGTTTATTGGCGAGCCAACAGTAAAATGTATCTGTAACCTCAAGGGAATTGATGTCCCGTCAGAGATCCAAACCTATGTTATACGGTGATGCAGTCATAGACATTTTCACTGATCTATTCAAGTGGAGACTAAGAGTTTTGTAAACGCTTACTTAATACGAATGAATGGAATCCAAACCACTCACCGGAGGTGATGCAAATCTGATTCTCTAAAAAGAAATTTGTTTTACTTAGATGTGATGGATATACAAAATTCAAGAAAAATAATTCATCGTAAAACCCAGTTTCTGTAGTTCTAATTAACTGTTTTATAAGCAAAGAAATGAGATAGCGACACTGGATTAGAAAATCTTCTATGGATTGATCTACGACAAGTAAATATCTTTGTAATGATACCTAAACAATGTTTACTTACTTAAATATGTCATGTAAAAAGACTGAATTGATTTTGAATGACATATAGTCGCAAAATGTTTCCTTCATAATACACCAATACAACAGTAAGAGTTATATGAAACCTTTAAAAAATGTAAACGGAATTAACCTAGACAGATGCAGACAGCTATGTGCAATATAGGACCTGACACAATGGCAGATAGATCCAAGTTGTCAGATCCCCTATCACAACAACAAAGTAAAATCAGTAATTTCGAGAGTAATTAAGTGATAATACTCATATCAACACGCTTGAAAAATAAGACCAAAAGAAAAGTGCGAGAATGGATTAAACGTGAATTATGACAAAGTTTTAAATGCTACTATGAACATAAGACGTGACATGTCTGCATCACTGGGATCGACTAAGTGAAACATAATACAAAGTTCCCAGCCATTAATTTAGGTCACTTGATATGTTCCAGTCAGTAAGCTTTCTCTTATCTACACTGCTACAATCAAATGTTAGACTTTGTGAGTTTATGTCATCTACTGACCTGAACATTTTCTGACGTTTTTCCAACCCAATCCTACAGCATATAAAACGACACGTTGGATTAGACTTTGGCTTATTGCACTTCTTTTACTTAGCCAGATGTAAAGTATGGGAAAAAGTCTGTTCACGGCTGTTTGTCATCTTGTAAGGAGTGCGTCTTAAAGTAGCTTTTTGCCCGTTAAAAATGATACAACGAGTTACAAAACCATGAGATAATACTTTTAAAAAACCACAGGCAAGTCAACAAACCACATAAGTCTTTAAAAAATCACACTTATCACACTTTTTATCTCTCTGTGAAGAGTTATTGATACCTCACTTCAATTGAAGACAGTCCTAATGATGTTGTCTTGAAAGACAGTGAAATGTTTACGATTGAACCACCCAACTCAGAAAATACAACCCAACCAAGACTTATATAAAGCATGCAAAATTTCAGTAGCCTGATGGCTATTGACATATTTGTTAGACATAACTGAATAGATGTTCAAAGAACAAACTTCTGAGTGACCAATAAGCAAGATACTTCAAACAATATAAAGACCTCAGAAAATTAGTAAATGGGAACATTTGAATGAATTAGGGCAGTTACGATGGGATAAATAATAAATCAAGTATAATCTGAAGTTTATTTGACAACAAAAGACTGCTTATCAGTTAATGTAAGGATGAAATTTCTCGCATCTCCAAAAAAGGGACTGAGGTATAATTTTGACTTTAATGCTTTTTATCTATGTATCATAAAAATGGAATTACTTAAGTACTGAGATCTGTTATCGTAAGTGATCATTACTGAAAACACTTAAGAATTTTATCAAATGGAAGCATCACCATCTATGAGTATGTATAAACTAAATGGCCAAACAATATCAGTGCCATTTCAAATTAATTATCTTAAAGTAGGTCCAACATAACACTACACGTATCCTGTGATTCATGCTAAAGTATTCATATGAATTACTCAGGTTCGTTTTTAACGAGCATTACACTCCTACAGTTCACACTGACTTATTTTCTGGGGCCGTAGATTTACAAATTTATAACTCAAATGATAGAAGGCTAGGGAAGAATATAAGGCCAGAGTCAAAAAAACAGTGAAGGTAAGCCTGACGAGCTGCTTTGGAAATATTACATAAATGGATAAAATTCTGAAAAATTACAAAAGTTTGGCAAGTAAAAGGTGAGAACTGGAAAACTGATTAGGCGCCTATTAGCAAGTTTGTCTTTGTTTCTTTTCTGGAAGATTACAAGGGAAGTAAAAACAAAAATTTCGAATCCATAGCTGGGGCTAGAATTAGTATATTGTCAGTGTTTCAGTAACATACAAATGTTTTGTTTCGACACTTTTTGAACGATCCATTCGTTATCTGTAGAGCATGTTAAACGACATTTAAGGAGGAACTGTGTGTTTTAAGTTGACAAAGTGATTAAAGGTACGGCTGAAAGCAGACTTCTCACTTTTCAGTAGTCAGAATTGGCATTATTCGCTAACGTGTTTAGCAGTTAAGCCCGTCATAGGGTCACTGCACTCAGATCCACATGAACACACGAGCTTATAAATGCACACATATAGGGCCTAATGTGTCAACTTATCCCTCGAACATTAACGATCCGCTGCTGGCATTAAAAAATTAGTAGAGAACTTGCAACAAGGAATGTTTTACCCAGTGACCTTGACAAGAGCCCACACAGAATCTCAGTGGTAACATCACTTCTAATTTCGAGGTCTGTAAGCAGGATTTTCTTCGGACGCATTCCGTCACACAGACAAATGAACGTAGAACCTAGCACACAAGCTCAAGTTACCATAGTTCACAGTAGTATACAAAGAGCAGGTGGATAGAAAAGGAATGATATCATAGTCGACAAAGTTATGTTGTATATCACGATCAGTAAACTTGTATGGACTATCATCCTGCAATGGCACTTCACGAAGTCCCTCTAAATCGTGCTTCATAGCATCACCAGTACTTATCTTCCTGACCAATGAGGAGAGACAGCATATAAAATTTCTCTTTTCGATTAAAGGTATCCGACTTTGGAAGCAGTCTGTTTCAGGTGAGTCTCCTGCTCGGTTGGCCTTCATGCGAAAATATCAGGTCTTTTCTCAAGTTAGAAGCCAAGGAAGTGAAAGGTCGAGTTAGATTTGTCTTCCAACGTAAACTTAACTTATATAAGACTGTCGCTTAAATACCGAAAAAGAATTTTCAGGCAACAGATTTCACCACGAACAGTAAAGATGTCGTCTGTATGTCTTCCGAATAAATTATAATGATTGTTTACTAGAAGTGTCGTATTCAGGTTTAATCATTAGGCAACTGTTTAGAAGCTGTTGCAGAGGCTGTCTCATTGTTACCCCATCCTTTGGTCAATAGGTTTCATTGATGAACCTGAAGTGAATATTGAGCGTATATATGAGGAGAAGTTCTTCCAGGTAATGTTTAGGCGGACTGACATGCAGATTTCCGGTTTGAATAAAGTTGCACAAGGACAGTATATTTAAGAATGCACACCTTTGAGGTGTCGTCGACAAATCATTTATCTTCGCCATTGCTACCTTCTTGTTCGTTTCTAAAATTGTTTATTCTTGTCAAAAATGACCCAAATTAGTGTCAAAACAATATTCTGAAGTTAAGAGTATGGGGTTAAGATAAAAGTAAAAATTGTCGGTCATTATTGAAGGTTGTGCTGGAAAAGTGAGGGGCCTCAAATGTTTAGTGACTCCAAGTAAAGGGTTCATACAAACTATATCAGATAAGCTAATTATTTTTAAGTTATCCAAGTAGATAACAGAGATAACTTTTATGATCTGATTACTAATTTTAGACTTGCCAAAGGGCTTTAAGTAAGAACAAATGGTCTCGGCAAAAAAAAAGAATAAACAGAACTTTGAATGAGGCTCGGAAATTTTGAGTGTGCAAAGAGTGCATTATGAACATAGTGACAGACGTTCAAAGTATTGTAGATATAGTAAAACTACAAAAAAATTCATATGTTCAGCTCGTTCTAATCTTTACTAGCTCCCAATTAATAAATTCATTCAGTCTTAAGAAACTTCCCGTTATGCCTTTTATTGTTGTCATCTCTACGTTCCTCCGAAACCTCAAACTCCCATTATTTTGAACGTCAGTAGTATGAGAATCTTATTGTCACCAGGTGAAAATAGTCCGCAGACTAATTGGTGTGGAGCAAACTCATGGAATTGTAGAGTGTTGAGTAAGATACAGAGGTGATGGAAGGGGAATGTAAACTTCTGCTGAATGAAATGATCTTATCAAAATTCCACAGAGTCCAACTGTCATAAGCTTTCATTTATTACTTTGATTTGTGTAGTAGAGTCGTTGGAAAACTCCTTGGATAGCAGAGTAGGAGTATTATAGGAAAGCTGTGCATGTATTTCTGAGACATGCTGCAAGTATCTAGTTTCTTATTTGACGTCAGTGAAGTCTTACAGCTCAGGAGCTTGAAAACAGACGCTTTTACTTTTATTTCTAAATAATTTTGGGATCACTACCATTTACACAATTACAAGTTTGCTTCTTATATGCTGTTTTTTACATCTAAAATAAAACTTATTTTACAGTTTTGATGTTTCCATTTTTCCCAGATATATTGAAATGAAGCAGTTTTTTATTTTGCTAGATTTTCGAAAGTTATATTTCTGTTGTCATTTGGGACTTTATGAAATTTGAATAAAGATCTTTTTTCCTAAGAAGACGAAAGCTCGCGAAGAATTTATCCCTATTATTATAATTTCTGTCCATGAGTTGTTGTTCCTCGATTCATTTACATCTCACACAAATAAAATGGCAAATTTATTAGCGGTCAATGATGATATTTAATAAATACCTTGTTAAACAAATAAAAACAGAAATGTTTAGGTGTCGTTTACTTTACCGTTTAAGTATTAAAGGTTAATTAGTGTTTCGAACACTTAGAAAAAAGTTTCAATGATTTATACAGCAGCCATTCACCATTAGCTTAGCTCGTTAAACAGATATTGGATATTGGTTAACCTAGGAGTGATAGCAGCCAAAAATGGGCAACTTTACTATCTATTCTTATACCTGACTTTACTGAGACGCTATAAACAGTATTCTTCCATTGCACAAAGTACTTCTTTTCCAACAATAAAGATTTGTACGATACACCATGATTATTAACCAATTGTAATTCGTTATTAACGATGACTGATAATTATGGGCTATTCGAAAATGAATCCTTAGGCTTTAACTGAATTTCATGTTGTTGATGGTTAGTTCAGCATATAGACGAACACAATAAGATCATCTTGAATCAGTTTCAAACACATTTAAAACCAATTTATTTTGTAGATATATGCATATATATACTCATTTGAGTTACCTTGACCGAGCTACTACGGAGTTGCACACACGATAAAGTGGAGCATATCCCTGACCGTATATTTTTGACTGTTTATTCATATTCATGATAGTTAATCTTATCACCTTTCCAGGACTATAACCACGCACGGAAAAATAAAACCAAGTACGATTCCCATTCTCATACGTAGTTCCTGCACAGTCTGGACTAGTCCATAGCTTAAATTCATAATCTACACGGATATCTGCTATCGAAATATTTCCAAAAATGTTGTTGTTGGCACCATTGTTTGTTTTCTGTGCATGTTGTTGCCTTATGTTTGATGCGACTGATGAAGATGAACGTTCATCTGCATCATGTAAGACCTTTTCGACATGGGCCAAATTCCCTGAGTCAAAGTTTGAAGAAAAGGTTATGCCGCCAATGCGACAATCCATAACCTGAAAAACGGCACATCAAATGCTAATTAAGATAACCACTCATTGCTGAATGCCATAGAAACTGTGACTCAATATTCAATACCTGTAACACGAACTAGTATCTAACACCATCTAACATCAATAGTGTGAATAGACGAAACGTGTAGTTTTTGAGCTCTCGCTCTAGAGGTCTTCCAGTATACAATATCTTTTTAGGAGCTGGTGTATTCCAGTTGATTTCTTCGTGCTCGCTTCCAGGTCCTGCTGAACGGTCCCAGGTCTTTGGTGAATTCCAATACAGTAGGCCTACTCACCTGTCTGGCACACCTCTGGCTAGCCAAACGAGCAATTAGGGGTTGCTTTAGCTTGAAGGAATTGTCCGAGGATAGTGGTGCAACATCCAACTGCCGCCAACATGTCTGCATTATTATGGAGTTGTAGGACTTGTACAACCAACTGACAACCTCAGTGTACTTATCTCAGATATGTATTGCACACAGATTCATCTCTTGTAAAGACAATACCGTCACCTGAATTTCGCACGTTTCTTAAGGTTAGATGCTCTGTTTTGGGTGTTTCGGTGTCAGCTATTGTCGGTAAACACGCTCGCCGACGAACACCACCTCATCTTGTGCTTTTGTCCAGCATGACGGTTCGATGCATATTACCGTCATACTGTCTACGACAGTTTGCAGGTTATACGCTTTTGTAGTTGGCGTGAGACTGGTTTTACGATCTTGGAGCCCTGAGGACTTGTTGCATTCAACTTGTATGGGCACACTAACTTCTGGCTGACTCTCGGCCTCACTAAAAAAGTTCTTCGCTCGTGGCCCTATATTCTGTATTACTTCAATCGAATTATGGAGGAGATATGGTTTCAAAGGGATGATCTGCTGGTATCTTTTGCCCACCGTCAATAATGAAGCTTCGATTCTCAACTAACGTGGTCACTGAAAAAAACTAGCTCGCATGAGTATCAGAAAAACAGAGAAAGTTGTTTTGGGATGGTTTAAAGGTCTCAGAAAAATTGGTCGATTAAGTGGCATGGAATCGTGTACTATTGTGGGGGAAGCCTTATAATTTATCTGGTCACATATAGCAAGACTCAGGAAATTTCGTTGTAAATCAGCCTAACGAAAACACCTAGTCATTCACTTATGGGTGGATTCCCACCTAATCTATCACAACTCTCAACCTGAGAGCACTGACTGAGTCCTCAGCAAACAACTTGATACTTAATGGTCCTGAATGTTTATTTGTTTAGTTTGGACTCAGTAACACTGTGATACCGATAAAGTACACTGCAGGGGTATGGCTCAGGAATGAATCTTCTGTTCAAGACTCAAAACGTCTAGCGTAATATACGTTATATACTACGCGGTGCAGATCCCGCCATCTAGTCAGTTGCAGCGGGTTGAGTCCAAAGGGCGTCTTCGTCACTCTGGTAAACCTTCTGCCCCAAAACAACTAAATTCTAGTATTTTCAAGCGCTTCTGATCACTTAAGACTGGGTACCAAAGCGATAGACAGCCCTTTTGACGTCATTTGAAAATCTACTGCAAATCACACCAACCGCTCTGAATGGCTTCCAACCCAAAATCGTCACATTTCTTGAAAAGCAGGATGTGAGACTTTCTCTGAGACTTATCCGATCAGGTGGGCACCTTTATTTTAATTCATGATTTAATCTTACCATCATCGCCTTTATTGTGACCTTTTTCAAATTTTGCCGCAGTTACGACATCCTTATCTAGTGTCGACGTGTAAAATGTGAATTTATCCGTAGGTACGGATGTAGAAAAATCAAGAGTACATCCAAAGTTATCCCTAACATGACCCCACGGACGAACATCAGAACGCGCTCTTCCATGTTCTCCGCTGGATATTATGAGTGAACTGGCTGGGTACCACGAAAAGTAACTCTCATTACGTTTGCAGTCAGTAAAGCACCTGTTCTTCCCCAAAATTAGAGGAAGGTATTTTTAACAAATGACCCCTAGATTTCACCATTTCATATCCCGTAATAATATGGCACAACTCGGTGACGAATTTATTAGCTTTTCGAAGCATAGGGAAGTGTAAGTGCGAGTATATTTTCATATTTGAGAAAAGGTCACAACATCCCTGCAGTGGCTGGGGGGACAAGGTAAGAGAGTCATTGGCACAACGACGAATATAAGGGCAGCCGTATCATCGCTGGAAGCTGCTTAAGTAAAGTGGGGCCGATTTCGACAGACTGTGATCGAATAATCGCGCATTATAAACACGACACAGGTCATATAAATTACACGATACTTTTGCATTTAGAAAGGATAGAAGTCAAAATAAAGTAAAAGCTGCGGCGGGTACTTCTATATTACGACAAGTACGACCACAAGCCGTCACAGATATAGTCAGAAAGGCGTCATGCAATCCGCCCATGTGCTATAGCAGCCCAATATAATCACATTGATTATCGTCCGTTTGCCGAACTCAATCACATTTTGACATCAATCAGGGATACATAGTTTGCCCAAGTCAAAAGTCCAAAATTTTGGTGGCGCCAACTCTGACCTAACTACTTAGCAATGCAGATGCTTGGGATGAAAGTGAGTAGGTGGGGGATGATACCTAAAAGCGGAAAAGTCGAACAAGTGAGTTACTGGCAGGCGTGTTAATCACTAATGGGATTAAAAATACTTCCATCAGGTTAGCCGCTCATACACGGCCCTGCGCCAAAACGTAGCAATCCCAAAATGCAAGAAGCATGCTAGTCTGGTGGTGACGATGGGCTAGTAGCAGAGTTTCAATCTCAACTTATCAATGGGTGATAGCTAATCCAGGCGATCGAGACATTAGTCAAAGCATAAAATAATCGTTTCAAGGTTTGCCGAACCCTAAGCAAGTTGTTAAGCAACTGGTCGTTTATACAATAATGAACAACATGTTAATAAATGAATGGTCACGTTATGAAGTCAATTCTGAATTATAATTGCCGGTGAGAAATTAAAGGCGGAAATGGAAGGATACAGTGATTCTGCTGATGCTGTCCTAAAGCTGTGGTCTTGGAAACAGCTTTTATTTTGAATCCACCAGCACCCTAACTCACTTATTAGATGTACCAATATTTTGTAGTGATATCTTCATCTTCACACCAATTTCCATTACCGTCGTGTGCACCCCCATTTTCTTCCACCTAAGCTTACCTCTAAACACTTGATTCTGGATACTTCTTGAAGCAAGTTTTGCAGTCAGCACAAAGAACTCACCCAGATGTATCATGGTTGATCTACTTCTGAGTACTTTTGTGCTCCTGTATCGAATTTTACTTGCTGCTCGCTTTTGTTATCCACTTTTCAGGTTTACCCAACCAGTCCTGCATTCAAATGGAATCCTAGAAATCGCGTTTGTCGGTGTGCACCATGCCATCAGAACCTTGTGACGAACAAACAAACACACCCGAAGGTCATGACCGTAATGCGTGCCCCAACTTCAAGAATATTAGAAGATTCAAACAATAACCTAACAATTTTCAATTTCGAAATGAGCCTGCTTCCATACACCTCTTGTATGCCGTGAATAACGGTATCTAATGTGTAGCTTAACATTGTACGTAATAGTCATTTCTGATTACCTAAATGATCAGACCTGTAAACTGGTCTGTATTCATGTAACCTATGTTTTATGAAACAAATATATGCTATTATTATTATCATATATTCAACCGACAGCATTGATAGAAATCCATTAACCCAGAAATCTATTTACTTTGAGTTATCCTTTGAAAGTATCGCTCGATTAGATAACTCACGCGTGATGCGACGACAGTTTCGCTTGAGCTCTTTATTATCTCCAGTAAACGAAACACGAAAATGATTGCATTAACTGGATGCCACTGATTCCCGATACACATCTATTTTGTGGGACTGGAAACGCATCCTCAACTTAACGGCAACGGAATTTCAGCTAACTTATGATAATAATTGTCTTTTTCTCGAATATACGGGTGCATATCATTTTTACAGATACGGTTATAACGACTATTGGTGGAGAGTCTCAGCATTCACATGCACACCACAATATCGCACACACAAACAACAATCTCTGCAAACACAAGCACGCTGCACATACTACTCGCCAGCGTCTATCGTCTGTCAGTAGGCACCAGATACAAACACTACACTGCAATGCCTTCACTTCTTTTGCATCACGGCAGTCACACCCTCCCTGATGTCAGACAAACAAGCGCACACACACGCACACGATCCCTCGAAGAATCTGTTTCTGTAGATGGAGTTATAAGTATTTATCTACATTTTTGTGCACTGTGTACAGCTGCAGTGGACAGAATGGCGCTAGTCAATGAAACACTGGAACGATAAATGTCGAGTTGCCTCATGGTAGTACCTTCGTGTGACACTATCGGGTTGTTCATCGTGGGCTGCACGATCGTGAGGGAGTCGCTTGATGATTAATGCAGTGATATGTAAGAATGGTACTGACAAAATATTGTATTTCCAATGTAACTGCCAGTCTCCAAGGCTCTACTTACAATGAGAACTGAGAAAACAGAGCGGGAAAACAAAACCCAGGGAAGTTAATTGTGTGTAAGTTTTAACTAAAGTACACGGTGTCGTGCCTGCTATTAAATGTATATTACTAGGTTTCATGCGCATTTTCTTATTAAAAATAATTTATTCACCGCGTTTTGGAAGTGCTTTCTTTGAGGGGCTACATCTGAAGATGTCTCCATTGACGATGGTCATAAGTGGAAGGTATATGCTTCACAATGCCGTGTTTTAGTTTCGCCATCAAGTTCGTTGGAGCCAAGCCCGGCAGCGATCTCAAAGTAAGGATTCTTATTGTGTAAATCAGAGTGTTGACAGTAAACTGCCGTTTCTAAGACTTCAAATTTGAGGTAAAAACTCCAGTAAATTCTTGACACTGCACCTGAGGAATGCTACAAGATCGTGGCCTGGGGCAGGAAAGTTACATCACACATTTCACCCAGGTTCAGCTCAACTGAACGATCACGGCTT